GTTCATTGGTAAGCGTTTCCATACAATGGCGCTTAATCGCATGCCCGACAAAACATCGTTGGGATGCAGTCTAATCTAGTCTACTTGGTAAGCGTGTCCAAACAATGGCGCTCGTTCCAAGACCAAGGTTGTATTGGAAGTCGTGCTGAGGGTCTGCATGGCCGCTAGAATGTCAAGAGAGCGGTCGCAAGCGACACCCCCGGGGTATCTACCGCCCCCCCGGGAAGATTAGGTTTGATGGCACGAAGGTGGCTCCGCGCCTTCCGACATCTGTTCCACCATATAACAAATGCAAATGGATCAAGACAAAAACAAAAACCCGAGCCATCGAGCTCAAAAACTATGCCCTCGGATAGTTAAAATAACACTACAGAGATGTGACGCGACCACGGAGAAAAGATCGACCTCGAGTTCGAAGTCGGAGTCGCCAAGTCACAATAGCAGCCTTCGAGCTGCCCGCATCATGTTAAAAAGATGCGATAGAGATACGACAAAACGAAACCAAGTTTCGTCTTCGGGAAGAGCGACCAGCCCAGTCGCAATCCCGCAAACATCCTCATGTGTCGAGACCACGGGAGTTAGGATAATGCAGCTAAATATGAGGCGGTCGGCCGCAGTAACAGGTGAGGTGCGTCAGCTCGTCGCAGAGAAGCGACTTGACGTCCTGTTATTGCAAGAACCATACGTCAGAAAGCAAAGCGAGAGCCACACCTTCTATGAGTTAGGAACGGGTATGCGCGTAGCAGCCGTACGCTCGCAAAGACCGTGGGCAATGGTAGCAGTATGCAATCCTCAGATTCAGGTTATATTTGTCTCGCAGCTTAGCACGACCCACTGTGTGTGTGCGGAAGTGCAGGCTCCCGGCTTCTCCTTCTACGTTGCATCGTGCTACTTTCAGTACAGCGACGAGATAGAGGGGCACCTCAGACACCTCGAGATGGTGATTCATAAACTGAGGGGGAAGAGACTCTTAGTCGCGGTAGACGCCAACGCACGCTCGTCAATGTGGGGTCCTCAGGGAACCGACGAGAGGGGAGGCAAATTCGAAGACCTCATCCGTGCGTGTGGCATGCAGGTAGTGAACAAAGCTGGCCAGGCACCAACATTCAAAACGGCAAGAGGGTCGTCATATATCGACGTAACCCTAGCATCGCCCTCAATGGCCTGCTTCGTCAACGAATGGGTAGTAAGGTGCAACTGGACAACCAGTGATCACAATGCAATAGATATCAGGTTAAAGGTACCTAAGGCAAGGTATGACGACCAGCGTGGCGCGAACATGAGGTTCGACACCCGTCGGGCTGACTGGAAGTGCTTTGCTGAAAATCTAGCTGACTTATCGAAATCAAAGCTCAAGGTTCTAGACCTGTCTTCTGCCGTAGATGTAGAAAGAATGGCTGGAGTACTTCAGAGTGTCATTGCCCAAGCCTGCGAGGCGTCAATGCCCAGGAAAAGAGTATTCAGGAAGTCCAACCCGTGGTAGACAAAGGAGTTGACTATGAAAAAGAAAGAGGTCGTACGCCTCAGAAGAGAGTGCCAGAAGGCCAAGAAGCCAGAGAGCCCTAAGGGCACCAAAGAGCAATATCGCACCTCTCTGCGACAATACAGCCGAGAGGTAAGAAAGACAAAACGAGACAGCTGGACAGAATTCGTCACAAGCCATGGCAACAAGGAGCCATGGGGCTTTGTATACAAGCAACAAGCCAATAAGCTGAGAGTAGAGAAGGTCATCAGCACGCTCAGAAGGGGCGATTGCTTCACAATGGACGTGGAAGAAACGGCAAGACGCCTATTAAATGTACACGTTCCAGATGACCGAGAAGAAGAGGACACACCTAAACAGCGAGATATCAGGGTAGAAGCAAACATAGCGCCAGATACGGCCGACGCCCCACTCTTCACAAGGCTAGAAGTGACCAGGGCGGTTAAACGCTTCAAAAACAACAAGGCACCAGGAGTAGACCTTGTTGAGAGTAACGTACTAAAAGCGGTGTGTAAGATAATCCCAAGCCAAATTACAAGGCTATTCAATGGATGTCTCCAATGGGAAATTTTTCCCTCAGTATGGAAGATAGGCTCGCTAAGGGTCCTCCTAAAAGGCGAAGACAAGGATGAGAAAGATCCGAAGTCATATAGGCCAATCTGCTTGCTCTCAGCTGTTGGAAAGCTCTTTGAGAAGCTTCTCATGTTGCGCCTGATGGACACGGCGCTGGTGCCAGGCAGAATCTCCAACCGACAGTTTGACTTCATGCCAGGAAGGTCGGCGAAGGACGCAATCGTCGAATTGCGCCAAATGGTGTCTAACATAGACGAAGGCTACGTAGTTGCTCTATTGTTTGATATTTCGGGCGCCTTTGACAATGTCTGGTGGCCCTTGGTGTTCCAGGCTCTCAAGGAGAGGGAGTGCCCCCGAAACGTGTTCGGAGTGCTGCAGAGCTAGTTCAAAGACAGACAAGTCACGATATCAAGCGGCCAAATCACTGTCTCCAAGCAAGCCACGCGAGGTTGTCCATAGGGCTCAGTGCTTGGACCAGGCGGATGGAACCTCATGTTTGACGGATTACTAAAAATCCTAGATAACTCTGCGAAAGACCGCTACATTGCGTATGCGGATGATCTTCTGGTCTTGGTGACCGGCAACTCCCAGAGAGAAATCGAGGCTAACGGCCAACAAATAGTCAATGAGATCAATGAGTGGTGTAGGATAGCCAAACTCCAAATCTCAGAGAGAAAGACTGAAGCCATCTTGCTCAAGAGCAAAGAGGTCAGAAGGGCCCCAGCGACTGCCCGCTTGGACAGGGCCAGGCGGAGCAGAAAGAAACTTGTCGGGTTCGAAAGCAAACCGCCTATCATTAGGCTGGGACAATCGAAAATTAAGTTCAAGGATTCCGTAAGGTACCTTGGGGTACACTTCGATAAAGGCATGAAGGTAAAGACCCATTGCCGGGTCCTAAGCGAGAAAGTGGGCTCGCTGTTCGACAAGCTAGGGAAGCTTGCAAAGTCTCAATGGGGCCTAAAGAATAGGGCGCTTTCCACCATATACCGGGGAGTGTTCAGCCCAACAGTCGCATACGCGGCTGCGGGCTGGTCCGACCTGTGTATGGAAAGCGAAATGAAGATTCTTAGGGCTGTGCAGCGCCGAGTTCTCCTGTCTTCAACAGGCGCGTACCGCACGGCATCCTGGGAGGCTCTCTGCGTAACTGCAGGAGCGATCCCAGTAGATCTAATGCTTCGAGAGAGCAGAGTACGATATGAGGCTAGGAAAAGTCGGGACGCCGAGATCGCCGAAACTGGCGAGGCAACAACCGACAGATACAAACACGCGCTAGAACGCGTAAGGCAAGAGGTAATAGAGACGTGGCAGACCAGATGGCAATCATCGGATAAAGGTCGAACCACATTTGCCTTCTTCGAAAGTGTCCGTATAAGATTAGATGCGCAGTGGATCCGACTCGACCACTGGAATGCGCAAATAATCACAGGACACGGCAACTTCCGCGCACGATTAGCTGCGCTAGGACTAGTCGACAACGACTCTTGCGATTGCGGTGCTAGGGAGGACACAGTGCAACATTTCCTCTTCGAATGTTCGCACTTTGAGGCGCAGAGAGTAGCATTGCGTGAAATCGTGCCGAGTGACAAATGGAGATGGCCGGAAGTGGCGCGCTTCTTCGCGTCAAATCCAGAAGCCTTCTCGTTGTTAACTGAGTACTGCAGAGAGTCCCTTTGGCTAAAGGGCTTCCAAGAGCAGTAGGCCTGAAATTCTTCAAAATTCTTTATAGGCAAGTACAATAAACCAAGGCGCTAAATCCTGCAACCATTCGCAGGTAAAGCCAAAGGACCAAAGAGCCATAAGACCTGCATGTCTTCGCAGGCAGGACTCGAAGACAAACACCCAATAACACCTGTCAACCCACTCACAATCCTACCCCATCAAAAAGGGAGTACAGATTAAGTCCTGGCTAACTCCCTAACCTACCAAACTCCCATCCTTACCCACCCAACAGGGTCAGGGCGTGCGTCCAGGCGGGACGCAAATGGGCAGGCCTCCCCGTGGTCCCCGTGGGCGTGTCGCGTGCGCCCTGGGCTTTGGCCCGGGACGCCCGCTTCACGGCTAAACTGCTCATCTTGCGCAAACGAACCGTGCAAACGCTGCTGGATTTTTCCATCGCCACTCTCGGGGTGGTTGGTTTTGCAAAAATAGTAGATGGTATAATGTTGCGTATGCCCGTTCGGGCGAGGAAGCACGTGGGCGGTCACTTGTGACCCCACACTTACATTAACTGTCCCTATCTACTATCTAGCGAAACCACTGCCAAGGGAACGGGCTTGGAAAAATTAGCGGGGAAAGAAGACCCTGTTGAGCTTGACTCTAGTCTGGCACTGTAAGGAGACATGAGAGGTGTAGCATAAGTGGGAGATGGCAACATCGCCGGTGAAATACCACTACTTTCATCGTTTCCTTACTTACTCGGTTGGGCGGAGCGCGTGCCCCGAGGGCTTCGTGCCCCGGCGGTCACGGTGACTGAGTCGACAAGGCACACAGGGGATA